TGTAGTATAACTTTCCATCAATGACAAAATGATGTAGATTTTAGCGTGCATACATTGCTACATTTGAGATTTCCCGATTACATTCCACTATGAACTGCTTATTCAAAAAAGATATTTTGCCACCAAATGTCTTATAAAGTAGAACATCATCATATACGCTAAATACATATTTAGGTCCCTCGACAAAATGTCGGGAGCATTCTGTTTTACCCGTGTCCGTTTGACCGCCCGTCCCTCACTTATATAGCTAAGGATTTATACGGCTTATTTCTTAGGGCTGTAGTTTTTAAGCTTCAATTTGGCATTTTGATAATATATAAAGGCACGCAGAGTACATAGATTTCATCGAGATATTTTATCTATCATTTTTACAACTATCAGAATGTTCAATCTTTTTTGATGACTGCATTAAATGTGTCTTTTAGACACAACTATTTCAAATTGTAAGTATATCGTCCTAAACATTAATGAAATATTTGCCACCGGACGTTAAGCAAAAATCAATCAATCAATTCAAATTGTACTTGAAAAAGGATAAAGTTGAAGATTCATTTTTTTATAAGCTGAATGTGCACCCGGTTAGGACGAAATAAAATTAATCAGTAGAATTAATAGGAAATTTACGAAACCGGACAGCGGAAATGAAAAACAAAATAACAAACACCAGTCAGATCCCGTTACATATTTTTTCAATACCTCTGAATAAAAATAACGCTATTCTATATTCAGTAACGTCACTCTTTTTCTGTCAAGTGTTTTGCAAATATCGGTCAAATTTGAAGCTATTTATCTAAAAAACAAGGATGTGACATATGCGTTTCTATGCATGCACGGATTCAGTATACAATCGTGGATATTATGTAGTTTTTAGTCTTTCTCCGTATATAAGAATATAGCCATTGAATAATTAAAAAAAATAAGTAAAAAAAGGGCATTTTCCCTATATAACTATGTAAGTTCGTTGCCAAAATTGACGTTTTCTTATGAAAATTACAAAATATCAAAAATGGTGACCCCCATTTATTATTTCATATTCTGATGTTACTCGAATAAAACAACAAGTGTGCCAAAAATTTTAGGAGATATGCCATTCTATCGTGTTACCTTAACAATTTACAGGCTATCTTAGTATGCGAGTTAAGATAGCACTCTTATCGACTATTCCGAAGTGACCGCCTTTTACTTTAAGGAGAATATTAGAATTCGCATAGCGGGTTCTTGGTTTTTTTTTTTGCACATATGGTTGTCGTTGCATTGATCATGTCTGTCATAGTTGTTTTTCGTAAATTGTTTTGTTATAAATTAGGCCGTTAGTTTTCTGAATTGAATAGTTTCATCTTTTTCATGTCGGGTTCATTCATAGCCGACAATACGGTATGGTTTTTTTCTCATTGTTGAATGCCGTACGGTTGCCTGTAATTGCTTATATCTACGACATTTAAAACCATACTAAATATTATTGTTATGAACATATGCACTTTCACGGTACTACAATCTGTCAAGATACGTACATTTTGTCATTGCACAAGTTCAAGTTTTTCTCTGACTGTTAATGACGTCTTTACACTAAATCCATTGAAGGTTGGATGTGTACTGGTTTATATTTTAGTCTTTAGTCTTAGAGTTGTTATTGGCTTTGAACTAGCTGTCAGTAACTGCGAGTACTCTGAGATCTGCACTATGTGTCTTTTTTGTTATTAGGGATGTATAAATACACTGCCACGTCCGGTTTTTGTTATTGTTAGATGTTTTCTGCTTTGTATCGATCTGATGAGTTAAGCCTTTTTCAGCTGATTATCATGGTTTGTTATTATGTTGTGCTGTAACTCCACTGTCCCAGGTTAGAGGGTAGGAATGCCATTTACCGTCAGGCGTCAAACGGTCATTTTCCGCTACCGTTAGCGTCAAATTGGTTAAAATTTTAACGTGATTCGTTAAAATATCCTTATCGTGATTCGTCAGAGGTCTCAAATAATTATCCGTTACCGTTATTTTTTTTAAGAATTAAACGTGATTCGTCAAACTCATTCAATTTATCGTCATGCACCAAAAATTACTGTTAACGTCATTTGGCAAGATTTTTTACCGTTATTCGTCATGAAGGTACTCTCAATACGACCCTTAGGTTAGGGGGGAGGGTTGAGCGCTCACAAACATGTTTTTCCGTTTGAATGGTTTTACACTAGTAATTTTTTGGGGCCCTTTATGGCTTGCTGTTCGGTGTGAGCCAATGCTCCGTGTTGAAGGCCGTACCTTGACCTATAATGGTTTACTTTTATAAATTGTAACTTGGATGGAGAGTTGTCTCATTGGCACTCATATCACATCTTCCTATATCTATTAACTTCACCACATTCTTTATGTGTCTGTTCCAAGTCAGGAGCCTGTAGCTCAGTGGTTGTCATAGGTTCATGTCTTTCATATTTGTTTTTCGTAAATTGTTTTGATATAAATTAGGCCGTTGATTTCCTCAATTGAATTGTTTCATTCGCTTAATAATGGTATATTTTAGTAAAATCTTAATTAAAAAAAAGTTCCAAATCATTTTTTTATCAAACAGATTTGTCCCTTATCTAAGGCACCGACTATTCATCTTTCATGGGAGTTGCTGGATGGAGGGGCATGTTATTTTTCTAGAGACAATTATACATTTTTCCAATCTGATTAAAATTCAGATATATCTTAACTCGAAACCCACCCAAAACCAGGAGTGATATCAGGTGCTCCGAAAAGGTAAACAGATCCTGCTTCACTAGTGGCACTCGTCGTGTTGCTCATGTGAGTACAAACCCGGTGACAAGTCTTACATGAAGTTTGTTGTTTAATCGGTCAATTTATTACAGCAAGGCGCATGACCGGGTTTTTCATGCACCAATGCAATTGAAAACAATAATTCAAAACATGTCGTTATTTTCTTAGCCGAAGGAAGGGGCAACATTTGTGCAAAATATTTAAAACCAGATTGTCAATAAACTCATCATAGATACCATGGATTAAAATTATGTATGCCAGACGCGCGTTTCGTCTACTAAAGACTCGCCAGTGACGCTCGAAAAAAAAAACTAAAAAAAAAACCAACGCATTATAAAGTACAAAGTTGAAGAGCATTGAGGACTCAAAATTCAGATAGGTTTTGCGATACAGCTAAGCTAATCTAGGCCTGGGTTAGAAAATCCTTAGTTTTTTCCAAAAATTCAAAGTTTTGTAAACAGTAAATTTATAATTAAGACCATATCAATGCTAGTTCATGTCAACACAATAGTGCTGACTACTATTTTGTTGTTGCGGGATTTTTTAAAAGCATTTTTTTTTCTCAAAATTACGTTTTTTTTTAAGGTAAACCTATTTATCATCACTTGGTTATATGCCAACTTATTTTTTTTTATACTTTAATACGTTACTAATGCAGTCTTTCATAGGTGTTAATATTGATAAAATGATTTAGGTTTTAAAGGTCTTGTTTTGATTTTTAATATCTATGACAGATGTTACTGAATATGGACAATCCAACCAAATTAAACTCTGCCAATCTCGTTAAAGTCTCTGGTAATTATAATGTTAAGCAAATAATAGTACCAATCAATGCATATTGTCTTTTTGATCGAGTTAAGCCATTTCAATTGATATTTAATGGTGTGTCTTTTATGTTGTAATGTTATACCACTGTTTCAGGTTAGAGTGAAGGTTGGCACCTGTTAAATCGTTTAAACCCGCTGCATTTTTATGCACCTGTCCTAAGTCAGGAGCCTGTTGCTCAGTGGTTGTCGTTTGTTGGTGTGGTTCATAGTGTTTCTCGTTTTTCGTTTTTTATATAGACAAGACCGTTGGTTTTCCTGTTTGAATTGTTTTATAGTAGTCTTTTTGGGACCCTTTATAGTTTGCTGTTCGGTGTGAGCCAAGTCTCAGTGTTGAAGACCATACTTTGACCTATAATTGTTTACTTTTTACACATTGTGACTTGGATGTGTAGTTGTCTCATTGGCACTCATACCACATCTTCTTATTTATATATACATTGTATATTGAGTTAAGTCCTCTGCGCACGATTTCTTTAAAACAAAAATAATTACGAATCTAAACAGTATCATCGGAAAAAAAATAAATAAAAAAAATGCAATCTTTTATCAAACCATTACCTGTAAAAAGTAAAATAACAAAAATACCGAACCCCAAGGAAAATTTAAAACGGAAAGTCCCTTATCAAACGGCAAAATCAAAAGCTCAATCACATCAAACGAATGGAAAACAACTGTCATATTCCTGACTTGGTACAGGCATTTCCTCATGTAGAAAATGGTGGATTAAACCTGGTTTTATAGCTAGCTAAACCTCTCATTTGTATGATAGTCGCATGAAATTCCATTATATTGACAACAATGTGTGAACAAAATAAACGGACATAATAGGTGAAAATGTCAAAAATAGGGGTACAGCAGTCAGCATTTTGTTATAATCTTAATCACTATAAAAACAAACAAATATGTCAACAAAGAAAAATAAAATGGCATATAGACAAAGCACATATTAAGCAAAAATGAAAGACAAGAATACACAAATTGACGATAGCACAATATCAAAATGGCGGGATGTATAAGTACCGAGCCACGCCAAGAGGATAATAACTTTCGGGTTTTGGTGCTGAAGTACACAGATCGTCACCTATTGATAAACATTAAACAAAGAATCATATAGAAAAAGTGAAAAATAAATAAGATGGTAGAGCGACATACATTTGTCTTTTTTTTATGTTTTCCATGCGTTCCCATTTGTTAATTAAACTTTGTCTAAACAGGTGTTAAATGATTTGGTGCATTCAAATTGTTATTTCAGAACCGTGTAATATTTTCTACTTCCCACATCTGTTTACATTTTCTTTCATCACGATTTTCCCTTGTACTCTCGCTGTGGCCAATTTTAACCCTTCGTGAACTTTCTCCTTTGAAGTCAGCAGATTTTGTTGCACGTTAACTCTATGTATATTGTCAAAAGAAAGTCGGAGGTTAGTTTTATTGCATTTTATTGAGTGAATTAGCACAAAGTTCTTTACTCCCGTACAGAACATGTCTAGCTACAGATCCAATAGTAGTATTCAAATATCTTATATCATGAAAATCATGGATAAACTTGTAAAAGCGTATATATAAATGAATAGCATAATTTTTAGACCAATCAAAATTCATTTCAAACAGTAACCGAAGTTGCGTATAATTAGGTCTCACAAATGTTTTATTTTCAACATGAATTAAATGTGGATATTTTTCAGATAACAAATTTGGCACAATTGTTGAATGATATGCCCATTGATCTTTTGTGTAGGTTTTATATTCTGAAAACCATTTGCTCAAAAAAGCTGCATTTTTCTCCGAAAGAATAAGTCCGTTACTGAGATTATGGTCAACTGCGTGACTGAGGGTAAAAGGGTATTTTCGAAGATTGTCCAATGACCTTAGTATGACCTCGTCTGTGTCCATATATATTCCCCCAAATCCTGAAAAAGAGAAATAAACTATACTGAAAGTTCTTGCTCCCATCTTTCATTTCACTTCCGGTAACGTATCACATGTGCTGTTCGTTATTTTATATGAACGGGAAAAATATAGTCGTTTACAATTTTGATGTAAAGATGTTATTCTTCAGTACCTTTTTAAAAAAATTTCTGATATCATTCATTACAAAAAGTCATCATGTGCGCTTGCAAATATTAAAACAAAAGAAGAGAGTGTACCGATTGATATTTTTATCTTAGATACAGGATTTTTTTCATCATTAGTCGTTATTGGCTTTGAACTAGCTGTCAACAACTGCGAGTACACTCAGATCTGTGTCATATGTGTTTTTGTGATTTGTATCGATCTGATGATTAAGCCCTTTTCAACTGTGATTTGTATCGATCTGATGATTAAGTCCTTTTCAACTGCGATTTGTATCGATCTGATGATTAAGCCCTTTTCAACTGTGATTTTATAGTTTGTTTTTATGTTGGTCTATTACACATATTGTCACAGTCCCGAAAACATGTTTAATCCAGCCACATTCTGTATCCCTGTCCCAAGTCAGGAGCCTGTAATCCAGTTGGTGTCGTTTGTTGTTGTTGTTTATCATATGAATTGTTTGACATTTGTCATCTTTGGGGCTTTTACAGCTTGCTATGTGGTATGTGTTTTGTGACCTATAGTTGCATACCTTCTACGTCATTTGGTATCTGGGGAAAAATTGTCTCATTGGAAATCATACCACATCTTCTTATTTTGACACGTCATTGCTTTTCTCCACCTCAATGTCACAGAAGCCTTCAACACGGCACAAAAATTAACACCTCAACGCAAATTCAAGACGGCCCTAGCACAGGTTTCAGCAGACGATTTTGCTAGATGGAGGTCGCGCGTATATATTTTTACTAAAGAACACATCTGCGGAGTAATATCAACTAATAGTAGAATATATCTGACAAAGAAATCTAATAAATATTTTCAATAATGGCGCGACATACTCACTTATCTTAAATTAAACAAGCCCTTAATAAATTATTGATCATATTTAAATCCTCAGTCTTGAAAATGAAAAGGAAAAAAAAAGGCTGAAAAATTTGACGGAGATTATCTAATACCAGTTCCCTAAGTAAACCAACCACCAATTTCGTTGTAAGAACATTAATCAATCAATTCAGAAGTCAGAAGTGTATTTAAATGGCATATTGTAAAACTTGGTATGGTATGACGGTATGGTATGTGGTATGGTGTGATTTATCATAAAACTTGCCTTCAAAGTTGTACGATCTGATAGAACGGTACAAATATTACGATACCAAAGCAATAATGAATGGTAAGGTGGTATGGTATACCATACCATGGTATAACTGAACTGAAGTATGATACGGTATGAAAAAATTTCAGCCACCCAGCAAACACGACAACATTGATTCAACGTGGAATCCTGGTGTAATGTTGAACAACGCTGAAAGTTGGATGTATTTGAGAAAATTTAAAGGACGGTTGAAAATCTACCTTCGAACCAACTTTGGCTATCAACGTTTAAAATGTACTGAAACCTGGTTGAAATATGTGTTGGAAATGAGTTGAAATCTGATCATCGTACGCTGAAAATTACTTGATCATTATGGGTACCCCGAACCGAAATCCGCGTAGGGATCCGAATACCTAAGAGCAACTCGCCGTTGCAGAATCTAATGCATTCTGGGTAATATTTTCACAAGCATACACCAAAACGTTGTGATTGGTGTTAAACGTTCTAAACAATGGAAATTCATCCAATGACGTACAATGTAACGCTATTTTCATTTTGATGTACGAACAATGAGATTATACATAGTGTTTCAGATTCTGAAAAGGCGTATTACACTTTCTTTAGTACAATTCATAAGTCAAAGTTGTGGTATCGTGTAATTGCTCCTCGGGATTTGGATCCCTCTGCAGATTTCGGTGTGTTGATGTCGAGCCACTTATTTATATTGCCAGCAAACATTGTCAATTGTGAAACAGTCAAAAACATTTTCAATGGGTAAAGTTTCAAAGACAAGGTCATTTTTAGAAATGAATGGTATTCCGTACAACAAACAAAAATCTGTTCTTACTAAGTTTCGAAAATGTTTGGGGAAAAATAATCTAATATTATTCCCAAATTAATTTCATAGTACATAATATTTATTATGAAGTAAAATGAAAAGATAAACCCATGGGTTTAAAATAAGAGACAAATTAACATATATAATCTAGTCTAGAGGGTCTGAATGGGGGTTTTAAGGTCATTTTTTTCTATTCTTTATACTTTTTGCCCATTATTCTCTATTCTTTATATTTTAGCACCTCATTATTCTCTATTCTTTATTTTTTTGGGTCTATTTTCACTATTCTTTATATTTTTTGCCCGTTATTCTCTATTCTGTAAACCCCCCATCCACACCCTCATTCTAACACATTCTAACACTGATAGAAAAATCTATAGTGACAAACAGTTCTTCCGCGTTAAGTAATAATATAATGTAATTAATGAAGATTTATTCAGAAAAAAATCGCATCGGACGCACGAAATTATAAAAAATATTATTTTCATTTACTAGCACTGGTTTGATACCAATACTATGGACATCATCGCCCCCATGTGTATCATCAGCCCAATAGTCAGTACTTCAGTACTAACAAGATTTATTGTTTTGTTCTCTCTGATAAATCAATAAATTGTTTTAAAAAGTAAGGTTGCAAGTCCCTCAGGCAAAGTTGACCCTAGATGAATTAGGCTAGGTGAGGGTTGAGATCTCACGAAACATGTTTAACCCCGCCGCATTTTTGCACCTGTCCCAAGTCTGGAGCCTCAGGCCTTTGTTAGTCTTGTATGTTTTTTAAGGATGTTTGCTCCTCTTGTTTTTGAAGTTTTGCCAGATTTTCGGAATCCTCTGGTTTTATCCATGTATTGCCATTAACAAATTTTGCCCACTAACACCTACTTTTCTTTTCATAATTTTATTACATATAGTTTAAAAAGCCATATTTGAAAATCTTATAAAATCCTTTTTTTTTCATAGTTTTTGAAACAAAAAAGCGACCAATGTTAAAGGTATGAAAAATCTAGAGAGAATAATTTCCCGCCAAATTTTCAATGGTTTATATCTCGAAAACAAGCACACGGACCATCATTTTTTTCTGCTCTTTTAGTTCCTTTATTTATATACTATCATTTTAGAACAGTCTTTTAAAAAGCTTGTTATTTTGAAACAGAAAAGCGAACATCCTTAATTTTAGTTCATTTATATGTTTTGGAGTTTAGTGTGACGTCCATTTTCATTGAACTAGTACACATTTTTATTTAGGGGCCAGCTGAAGCCCACCTCCGGATGCGGGATTTTCTCGCTGTGTTAAAGACCCATTGGTGGCCTTCAGCTGTTTTCTGCTCTATGGTTGGGTCGTTGTCTCTTTGATACATTCCCCATTTCCATTCTCAATTTTACCATTTTTAGATTCCTTTCTGTCATAAAGCTATTCACGTGTTCAGGTCTTATATATATATCATTGGCTTTCATGTTACTTTTTGGTTTTGAGCGTTTCCGATGAAGACAAACCCAGAAAAACGTTTCGGACTTAAAAAAATTATATAAAAAAAGTGTTATTTTCATTTGGTTCTGAGGTCTATCCCCATGTCATTTCAGTGACTGCCAGGATGATAAATTAGATAACGATTGTATTTAATGTAGACATGCGCGTAATAAATAATCATTTAATTGTTGTCTCCAGTCATAAAATCTATATATCTAAACGACTTGACCTGTTTTTAAGTATCGCTTCTCCGTTAACCATATCAAATCAGTAGGTATATATCGCTATATACTTCAAAGGTGGTATGCAAACTGTTACGTTATTCTTTCTATTTATTATTCATATGTTGGGTAGTTAGGGAAAAGTTTTGGAGATATGAGACATACTACTATTTCTACCATGTGTTTTGATTAAGGGAGCTACCATTTGTTTTTTTGGGGAGTGGGGGGGGGGGGATGAAAAATTTTGTCATGGATTTTTTTTAGTTGTAATCTCTGTCCTGCCTTTTTATTTTTCACTCTGTTCGGTCCTGCCTTTTTTTTTATTAGTTTATCCTGACTTTTTTTACATAAATTGTCATCCTGCCTTTTGTTTTGCCAAGTTGCTCATCCTGCCTTTTTTTTTACTCAAAACTCATGTCCTGCCTTTTTTTTCAAATTTCATCCTAGCCCCCCACCCCATAAAAATCAAATGGTAGCTCCCTTTACTATTCTCTGGTAATTTTCATCATCTTTGAAAAAAGTTTCATACATCAAACCATAGGACATGCTGCATTCCATTAACTTATAGTAAATTGTACCATACCATACCAGCATACTATCAGGGGTGGACCCAGGATTTTTGAGAGGGGTTGTCCCAGGTTAGGGGGAGGGTTGGGATCCCGCTAACATGTTTAACCCCGCCACATTCTTTATGTATGTGCCTGTCCCAAGTCAGGAGCCTGATATTCAGTGGTTGTCGTTTGTTAATGTGTTACATACTAGTATTTGTTTTTCGTTCATTTTTTTGTACATAGATTAGGCCGTTAGTTTTCTCGTTTGAATTGTTTTACATTGTCATTTCGGGGCCTTTTATAGCTGACTGTGCGGTATGGGCTTTGCTCATTGTTGAAGGCCGTACGGTGACCTATAGTTGTTAATTTCTGTGTCATTTGGTCTCTTGTGGAGAGTTGTCACATTGGCAATCATACCATATCTTCTCTTTTTTTTTCTATTTGTACTTACCGACTTGGGTAGAACAAAAAACACAAGAGGAGCGAATCGAGAAAAAAAAATTGGACGATTTTAGGCTATAAAATGATATATTTCCCAATCAAAGTGGGGCGGACGTCTTCCATGCGCCCCCTTAATCCGTTACTGCCATTCATGCATACCGTGTACCATACCACATGACAGGCCACCGTAAAATACAACGTTTTACAGTCTGCCCATTTCCAAATATA